CACATATAAATAAAACAAGGGACCAAAAAAAAAAGATAGACAGACCTATAGAAAGGAAAAGAATATGCTAATGAAAACTGGTATGCAAATTTGGCCCATTATGAAAAGGAGAAATATCATAGATGTATTTTCAAAAAGGAAATGGACTACATAATAATGTTTAGGGATAACATTAATGGTATCTGAAAGAATATTGTATAGGAGTAGCCTAGATCACACCTAAACAAAGATGGTCCTAATCAATTGCCATTGCTAATAAGGTTTTTTTTTATATTTTAAATTATATATATATATATATGATATGCATGTAGTTAGGGCATTTTCATCCATATTGAAATAGAAAAGATAATTAATGCTTAATTTCTCAGTTCTGACATATCTAGAACTTAGATTAATTCTCTGATTGACATGTACCAGCAACCAACAATTACTCTGTTGCTTCTCAGAAAAGGGTCTGGGCAATAATTAAAATGGTTGGTAGGCCATAATCTTCCCCCACGATTCACATTTAAATATTTTGAGAGAAAAAATAAAGTTGAAATATTTTTGCTCAAATTATAAAAAATATGTATGCATATGATTTGTACATCATCAAAAGCAAGGAATGAGGAGAAAATCCTATTCACGAGGATGTCCATTTAAGAATTTATAAAAACGTCATAATTTGTACGGTGAAACTAATTAAACCAATGTTTTTCTTTTTCTTTTTCATATCTGGCATTAAGCTTATTTAAATAAGAGAAAATTTTAATGCGACTACGTCTTGTTTTGTTTTGTTTTAAATTCAAAACATCTCTCAGCCAAAAATAAATTAATTTTTATATACTAAAATTTATTTAAGAAATTAATATCTCTTTTTATAATATTTTTTTTTTTTTGTAAACACAAGTTTGGATATCGAACCTGTCCAAATATAAAATATGCATAATGATTATTATTTTTTATTTAATTTTCCATTATTTTTTCTTTATATAACGAGGCAAATGAATGAAATGATAAATTAAAAAATAATAATAAAACAAAATACTGTTGAATCTTAATTGGATTATAAATCTAACTTAATTTTACAAATGGACTTATAAGATTGAAAAATATTTAGTTGGTTATGATATTTGAGTTTTTTTTAATATATCATCTCTTCTTAATTAATTTTATAAAATCGGATTATAAAGTTAAAATTATTATTTATTTAAATTTTTTCAATATTTCTCTTCATGTCAAGTAATATTAAGTTTGATGTATAAATAAATAATAGATAAATCTTATATAATTTTGGATAAATACAAATTTTTCCAACATTGAATGTCTTGAATTTAACTTGGAATGAAAAAAACCTAGTCGACACAGACATAGGATACCTCTGTAAAAATAATTAACTAAATTTTTTAATAAAAACTAATTATAAATAAAATTAATAAATATATATTTTTTATTAATAACATGATTATTAAAAAATGTTAAAAATTAAATCCTTATGTGAATGAGTGTGACACTTTGTAAATATTCCTCAACTTGGCTCGGATAGATTCCCTTTTTAATGGCCCAAAATCGCTCCCGCTTTCTCAGTCTGTCCATGTCCAGCCGAAATTAAAAACCTTTCAGTCTGTATGCATTTTACATTTCAAAGACATCTCACCATCATAAAATAACTTATGTACAAGTTCAAGGAAAATTCTTCCTCTTTTTTTTTTTTTTTTTGTAGAATAGTAAAATATGGTTTATATTGAATGAAAAATCAGGCAATGTTACTCATATTACAAGTTTTTTTTTAATATACTTTAACTTAATGAATTTATTGAAATGGATTCAAATAATGATTCCTTTAATATTAAACCATTATCAAACAAAGAGATTAATTAAAATTATTCTAACTTAACTAATTATCTCAAGATTGAGTTTTAAGTATGCAGCCAAGCAAATGCTTGATTACAAGAGTTTGAGACTCTTATATAATGATGATATATGATTCAATCAAGATTATTTTAATAGAAAATATTTGTGATTTTGTACAAAATACAAAGGAATATTTTCTTTACCGAGATCCATTTCTGTATTCTAAAACATAACATCATAGTAACTTATATGTAATTTTTCAATTAATATTGGTTTATTTGAAAATTTAGAGAGAAGAATTAATATGAAGTTGTAAATTAATAAATATTACTACGATAAATGAAAGGTCGCAAGTGATTTTCTTGACTTATTTAGCGAGTACTACGTACTCTTACAATGTCAACATCAATGTTCATCATCTTCAAGCAAATTTTGTTTTATCCTCTTCTCTCATGAAAGTACAAGTGCAGCACAGTTTTTACACTAATAATTTTAGAATTACTTGCATGCATATTTAAAGACATGGGGATAATCAATATCTTTCACCTTTAAAGTATCGAAAAACAAATTTGTATATATAACATTTGTTGATGTCTAGTAGCAAGTCTTTCTCAACTAACTTTTATTTTATGCGTTAGTTGATTCCTAAAATTGTTATGATTGTGGTTTTATCTTGCACTCTCTTGTATTTTATATATATATATATATATATATATATTATTTATTTCTCTTGTATGTAATATAAATACAAAATTGATGAATGTGCAAGATTAATAACAAGGGTGAAGGTTACAAAGAGTGTTAAAATAATATAAAAGTTATTGTGTGACTTATAACTTATTACTTGAAGACTGATGCTATTTTTTTCATATATGTAAGTCTTAAGACTAAATCATGTAAAATTTGGTTTTTTTTTTTCTTTTTCTTATCTTTATATCTGCATTCTATGAACATATTCTTGTATCTGTGTGCATATGTGTGGAGCAATATTTGTTTGTTTTTATATGTTTTAATCTTTTTGATTAGATGTTAGAAACATTAGGACCAACAACTTTGTTTAATTTGAGCAATGATAGTCCAAATGAATGCATGGATGTATCATATCCCACGTGTATATAGCCGACCTAGGTAGTTTCCTGGGCTAGCTAACTGGCACACTCATATATAATTTTCATTTTCTTATAAGCCATGCATGGTTGCACAATTAATAAAAGGATGGTTAAAACAAATATTTGATGTATATAGATGCTAGCTACGGATCGATTAATCTTTTAATACCCAAAAAGAGATAAAGTTAAAATAAAAAAATAAAAACAAAACACAACATGGCTATGGTAACTAGTGGAGTAGAAATTAAAATCGATTGAAAGCTTCTTTTTCATTGGCTCTGTTACATGCATGAATGTAAAAGATTGAAGTTGAGGAATAGGGATGGTGATCAAAATAAAAATAGTAACACCCGAGTGTGTGAGAGAGTATATATGTTAGGACCCTCAATTCAAGTAACTTTCTTTGGAGGACACGTGGCTCCATAAAAATAATGGGTGGAAGACAGGTGGATTTTGAGACTTTCACTGTTTACTTTTTCTTTTTTCTTCTTCACTTTTCTCAAGTACAAAATTTTCACTTTTATGTGCTTTTCCTTCTCAACTTTTTTTTTTTTTTTATTTATAAGAAAAGCACTATTAGTCAATACTTTTTTTTAATCTTCAAAGATTGTTTACTAATCAAATCGTATAATTAACGTTTCTTTATATATATATATATATATATATATATATATACACGATTTCTTATATTAATTTCAGATTTTTTTCCTTTCATTCTATATTTAGTTCTTTTAATTAAACTTATGAAATGTACTGATAATTCAATTTCTGAGAGATTAGATATAATTAAGTATTATGGTAAGTGATCTGCATTTTAAGTATGACAAAAATTTAAATTCAAAAACCGTAGACATGCTAAAAAAAGATGGAAATTAAGTTAAAAGATTTAAATTTATATAAATTCAAAACATTAATCAAAGATAGAAATACTAAATAAGCAAAAAAAAAAGTTTACTTATTATAAGTTACTGAAAAATAATCCCTCAAAATATTATAATTTTGAGGAGAATTTAAAGGAATAATTTTGACTCCTCCAATTTTATCTAATATTTTGAATAAAAAAAACATTTTATAAAAATCTATCATCTATCCTTCTTTTTTCTCCAACTAAAAAGTTATTATTTATTATAATTATTTATTATAAAAATAATATTTTAAATAAATTATCAATAAATAAATAAGATAATTTTATACTACAAAATAAATTATTTATTATAAATTTAAAATATTATTTATATATTAAAAAT